ATGGGACTACACGTGTGTTTCATCATTCCCTTCAAACATAAATTTCAATTTAATAACACAGGCTGAAATTAAAAAGATAAACAAATACAAAAATTTTAAAAACTTTTTATTCACTCCAGTTGTGACTTCTACTAACGGGCATTTTTCGCCTTCAACATTTTTGTTTTTAAAAAATCTTGCTAATAAAATACGACTTTTCACAAATTAACCAAGAGAATTCCTTTTTATTCGACAAAAAATTCAAATAGAAATTTTTAGACACAATTATGGTTCCTTTTTGGGGACTCAATTATAGAATTTTATTTTTAATTAAATAATTATATTTTATAAATTATAATATTTTTAATTAAGTGTTATGTGAAATAAATAAATAAAACTTTAAAAAAAAAAAAATTTGTAATTTATATTTTCAATTTCTATTATAAACCTAAAACCTGTTAATAATTTAAAATGGCATCGCATATGGGTATCCAAATCGTTGAAAGTGATGCAGAGTCAGACAATGATGTTAATGAAATGGAAAATACCAGGGAAGAAAATGATATTTATGGCAATACATTCCCATTTCCTTGATTTCAAAAATTTTTCAAAATAAATATTAAAACAAAAACTGGTTTCAAATTTATATGTTTAAAATATATAACAACTTGTTATATGTCGCATTCATTTTATTAACACAACTGTATATTTAATGATATAATTTTCTTTAAACTAAATTGATATTAACCTCACTCAATAGTTTTGTATAAATTATTTAATAGATTTTTTTTATATATAAATTGATTTTATATACTATATAAAGAACAGAAATATATTGTTTTTTAGTCAAATATTTTTTAAATAAATTTAATAAATAAAAATTTTAAAATTATTTTATTAAATCTAACAATTACAATTTAAATTTCAATTATATTAAATCCGCAAGTTGGCGTTTTTTATATTAAAAATATACTTTTATATAAAATATAATAATTTAGAAAATTTATATATCATTACTCACTTATAACATTAAAGGTTCATTTTAATAAACCGAATTACCATAATAAACATGGTGGAGGGCTATGTATAATTGAAAACAAAGTAATTCGCTGATAAAGTATATTGTTAATATTACGATGTACAATATTATTTTGTGTCATATGATATTCAAAAATACCAAGTGACTATTTCTTGATTTATCTAACAGTATTATAGTAAATGTTTAATTTATATTTATATTATATAATCATATTTATATAAATATTTCATAAACACGATTGCATTCATTTATTTACCTATATTTTTTAACCTAATATTATTGGAATATTACAAGATTACAATCACAACAAGTAAGCTATATCCATTTCAACAAAATTATGTTAATTATTATAGATTATTTTCTAACTTTTACATCTAATACACTTAAAATTACAAATGGATCCACATTAAATATTCTAAAGCTTATAAATAATAATCACTCTCAGGTAACGTTAAATTACTTTGGCAATAATATATAATGTGAGTATATATATATATATATCAAGCCCGATTCTAGGTTTATTCATTGGGGGTTGGCAGACAAAAGATTTTCAAGGGGAGGAGGGGTTAAGAAATATTTTTAACACCATAAAGGAATATTTGAATACGAAATTGAAATATACAATAATTTTATTTGAAAAATGTTACATATTAAAATTCAAAAAATATAATTATGATCAAATATGTTTATAAAATTTGATGGGAGATGAGAATTGACTTATAGCTTAAAATTAAAATAAATAAATTGATTTAATGATTTTACAAATATTATGTAAAAGTTTAATTGTGCTTGTAACTTGTTAAGTATTCAAATATATAATATATGTAAGTAAGAAAATATTTATAAAGTGTTAACTAAGTAATTTTGGTTGAGACTTGAGATGTATCTTTAAATCCCCAGAAGGGCCTTTAATTAAAAAGGCAATGATAAAAAAATAGATGTGAAGCCATGCTCTTCATTGTTAAGATTACAAAAAAATGCTTCAGTTAATTCAGCATTAAATGAATTAAGCTCTATTTTTCCTGTCGATATAATATTTTAGCACGTTTTTGTTTTAGTTGAAAATTCTTAAGAAAAAAGACATTTATTTCAGCATATCAAATAATAAACGCCAACTTGCGGATTTAATATTATTGAAATTTATAATGTAAATTAAAATTATTTTTAATATAATTATATTAAAGGATCAAACTATTTATTATGAGATAATAGAAAATACAACTATTAAGGTATATTCCTTTATTATTGAATATATTTAAAAAATTAAATTTTTATAAGTTATTTATACCATAAGAAAATGAAAATTAAATACATAAAATTATTTAAGGTAAGTTTAATTATAGGAAATTGTTTTATTATCTCTTTTTAAGTGTGAGAAACCAAAAAATTTCCACACAAATAAATTTTTTTATTTTATTATTATAAAACTAAAATTATTTATAGATTTATTAAATGTAGATGCATCCAATTTAAAAATATGTAAAATTATGGTAACTTTTGAAATTTTAGATTTTTGATTGATTGAATTCTATAAAGACGCCAATATAATTATGAATTTAAAATATGTAGAAAATAGGAATTCATCAAAATCCTGCTAGACATTAAAAAAAATTACAACAGTGATGTTGACCAATTATTAGAATAAAAAGGTATAAAATATTTTTAAAAAAATTATGCACTTGCCGTGCGCCGCTGATATAAAAATCAACGGCGTGCTGGCTTGATTTTCATAAAGGCGGCGTTTTCGGCGTAACTAAAAAAGTCGGCGGCCGGCCGGGTCCACATATTAATAATCGTAATCAAGAAATGAACGTAAACTATTTTACTTAATGAAGAAGGTAAGCAGGGAGGTTGATAAACAAATAATTTTATCTTAATTTTTAACAACTAATTTATCTATGAATTAAAACATCTTTATATATGTCGTATGCAGAGTTGTTAAAGGATCTGGATACAAGTATCTAGATCCTGTATCTAGATATAAAAATGTGGTATCTGTATCTAGATAGATTTTTGATTAAATAATCTGTTTCTAGATATTATTTTAGACGTTGTATCTGTATTTAGATCTATGTAAAAAGTATCTTTTAACAACTCTGGTTGTATGGGATTTGAAATTCGTAGGGATTCGGAATCTCTTGATTTTGAATCTTTTACCGATGGCGATTTTAAAAATTCAATATTCGGTTTAACCAGAAATGTATTCTGGCATGTGTAGAGTATTTACCCAATATATTTCAGCCAATATCAACCATAGAAATTTTAGTATTTATATAATTTATATGAAAAATCCATATAAAAATTAATAAACATAAATTAAAAGTAGTTCTAAAGTTCATGGCAAAATTGACGAAATTTATAGAATAAATACTCTACACAGCTAAAATACATTAGTTAAATGGGATTTTAATCTTATTATAACTTTTACTCGCACATGGCCCAAAATATCTGAAAATCTTTTTAACGGAAAAAATCCTGCCGATAGACCTGATATAGTTTCTAGAGTTTTTAAAATTAAATTAGATGCATTTTTATCTGATATCACTAAAAATAAACATATTTGTATAGCTTCATCAGTAAATTTATGAATAAGAGAACTTAAATTATATGATTTTTATTTTAAAATTACGAATAAGAGAACCGAAATTATATAATCTAATTCCTCGAAATTTTGTTTCATGAGGCCGTTTAGTCAATTGATCATGACTTCCTTAATAATATATAATAATCAAATTAAAAAGATAAGTTTAGATTAATTTGTAGAAACTATGACTTTGTTAATATTATATACTATGATGTGATATAAAAATAAACGAGTCACTAGGGAAGTACAAAATCGTGATAAAATCATCTTTAACATATTTTATATTTTAAGCAAAACAAATTAGAAAATTTATTATGAGCGCATGGATATGAACCGTAAAGAATATTGGATCAAGTTCAGATTAAAAATAAAATGGCTCGAGTTTGGTCGGTTGGTAAAAATTAATAATATCGGTTTGGTTTAAAACCTTTAAAAATTGGTTATAATAATTCAAAACTACTCTTAAACGCTTATTTGATTATTTGACATAGAAAAATATATTTACGTATTATAAGCGCAGGATACTTATTTAGAATAATATATTTTCCCCCCAAAATCGATTTGTGAGCTAGTACATTCAAAATATTTTCAAGATTTTTTTTTCCCATAAATTTACAGCTGAGAAAAACAAACGCAACGCTAACTTGAGTCATAGGCGTATCCAGGAGTGGAGGGGGCGTCTTTAGGGTGGCTTTTTTTCGTTATAATTTTTATCGGATAGTTTGAATTGGAAAATGGGAGTGAGGGTGGGGAGGGGGAGTAAAAATAAGTGTTAAATTTTGTATTAGCAAACTTTAGGGGAGATTTTCTATTCCCCTACCCCTAGTTGCCTTAAGACCATTTATATTAATCATTCAAAATTGATTTATAAGGATCATTAATAAAGTTAGGATATCAAAAGATTCCGATTCACAGACCTTAGTATTCGGCCCTTAGAAGCAAGAAAATTATTTGATTCAATGCCTAATCCAAAGAAAAATTCGAGAAACTTCAAAACTTTCGTAAAATTTTTTACGAAATCCGTATGACTAAATTTTTGAAATTTATAAAATTTTCTTGAATTATATTTAGGACACGTATTTATTTTTTATCTTTAAAATAGCTTATATATTTATTTTTTATTTTAAAGTTTCGAAAATTTTGTGAATCAAATTTTTTTTTTTTGTAAATTTTAGACACAGGCTAAAATATTTATAAAATTGTATTTCGAATCTAAATTATGACACAAAGCCACCAGCAATTTTTTTCTTAAATTTATTTGGCTCAAGTTTATTTTTTTTTTTGGAAAAAATGGCTGATAAAGTTATCCGTGATTTTACTAAAAATTAAATTAAACACAACACAAATAAAAAATAAACAGCTAAAAGAAAAACAATAGTTTTTTTAAAAAAAAATAATTTTTGTAAATTAATTAAAGATTAGATTGTTATTCCTTTTTATTTTGAAACAGGATAATTTTTTTATTTTCTAAATAGGATATAAGATGTTACTTTCAAGCATTACTACTTATAAATATATGCATAGTATAATAGTGCGCAGAAATTTAACGTTGCAACGCAGCGTTTCAAAATGCATTTATAAAAACGTAAATGCAGCCTTGTTTAAATTGATGTGGTAAGTTTAATTTTATTATGAAACCTTTAAATTTAAAACAAAAAAAAATTACTTGCCTTATATTTCCTTTAAAAAAATAAAGAAAGGAAGAGGAGCAAGACATCTCAAATATATGTTTAAAGAAATCTTTTTTTTCTGAATATATTAATAATAAAGGCGATTTAACACATTCTCAATTTTATAATTATGCAAGATGAGGTAAAATAAAATAAATTAAATACATTATTAATCATTTATATAATAGGTATTTATGGTGTATAATTTACACAACTTTATAGCTCAAGGATTTCAAAATCCTGTATAGCTTATATTGTGAAATAAGTGTGTACAGGAATTTGTAATTATGCTGTTGCTGTACATATTCACATGCTGAGACCTAATAAAAATGATTGGAAAAGAGTAAATTTATTATAATAAATCAAGATTAATATTTATTTATCTTTAGTTTTCCCAGGAATTCCTGCTTCAATCAGGATTTCCAAATTGTTTTGGGGCTATAGATGGAAAACATATCTATATCAATTTATTTTTATAGATGTGGGAGCATATGGAAAGCAGAGTGATGGTGGAGTATTTAGAAATAGCTCTTTATATAGAGGTTACATTCTATTAATTTTATTATATCTTAAAAATATATTAATAGTTGGTGAACCATACACTTGATCTGCCTGCTTTATGTAATCATCCAAATTAGATACAACAATGATAAACATCACTACAAGACCTTTCTTACCTAGCAGGGAAAATAATTCTACTTCAATGGAATCAAAAATTATTAGAGACAAATATAAAAATTTTATAAATTATTAAATTTTTATATTTATATTGTATTAAATTTATTTATGAAAATATTTTATATTAAATTGTGTTACATGTTTAATTTTTATAGACAATTATGTTATTAAATGATATAAATAAATAGATTGAATATTAAGAAAAATTTATTTAATATATTAAATCTTAATATGGACACTATTCTAGGTGTAGCCTCTTGAGCTATTTAAAATCTTGAGGAATGAACCTCAAACTTAAAATAATATCAATTCTAATATCTTACAACATCATTTATTAAAAATATACAAAATACATTTTTATAAAAAATAAATAATTTATATAATGCTATTAAAAATGTTTAATGGAGAATCATTGTCAGGTTGTGATGATATAGGTTCTGATGATATATCATTTGTCTTGAGATAATATAAATATTTCATAACCTCTGTAATAGGTTATAAAATATTAAATTTTATTTATTGGTTAGAATTTTTAGTGTTGTGCTATTTTTTTTTAAGCCACTCGAACTTGACCTGATAATAAGATAATCTTTTAGAATTAGAAGTTTTTCGTTAATTTATTATAGATTGTTGTTTTGATTATAGATCTTTCACAAGTCGGTCTATACGGACATTGAATCTTCCTATTAAGATTAAACGAGCTGGTCAGCACGTCTTGTTAATCAAGATATTTATCCCGCTATTTTTTCCTTCTCATTTAAAAAAAAAAAAATTTGTGCTAAAAATTAAGAAAAATTACAGTTCAAAAATGGAAAATTTTGTTACACTAGTCAACAATTTTACAGGCGTAAAATTTGTATTATAGCCCGTTTAAAAATTTTTTTACGAAATGCCAGCAGAATAAAAAAATGATGCCAGCTAGGCAGACCCGTAAAACCAGCTCTAGTTGGGGAGGGAGGATAATATATATTTTATTGAAATAAAACAAATAGACACTCAGAAAATCTATATTTATTGAAAATTTGTAAAAACGACGATTTTGATTTGAATTTTAACCAGTAGGTGTGGGAAATCAAAATTTTACCAGCAATTATATTGTTAAGTGTTTATCTTCAATAAATAATATATATTAAAAAATTAATGGAGATGAGTGGGAGGGGAAATTTAACTATAAAAATTTATTGTTAGAGATTCTAAATTTTGATCAAATGCGTCGGTTAAAAAATACTAATGATTAAAATCCTATATATAAAGTAATATTAATTTTTGAGCCATTAAAATGATTTCTCAGTTGAGAATCCAAGTAAAACTCTAGATGAGTTATTTTAGATTTTGTTAATTTTTATTTTACAATATGAAAACCATAAATTTGTCCAAGAAACATTTTACTTATATTCCCAATAAAAATCATGAGTATGTGTTCACTGCAGTACAAAATTTAATGTATCGTCAGCAACAAGTACAAAATAATTGTTTATAATTTTTTAAGCAATAAATTAATCAAAATAAGCAGTATTATTATTAAAATATTTTGTATTTTTCCTTAAGAAACTGACTGAATAATTCATTGTCAAAATAACTTAACCTTATTCTTAATAAAATAATTAGGTACTTTAAGCAGATCTGATAAAACATAAAATATATACTCCTAATGATGAAAATGGAAATATCTCAAAATCACAATTTACTCTTAATTTTAATATGCCCTCATCAAAATAAGCAGTATTATTATTAATATATTTTGGTTATTATTTATATAGTCTATTTTTCCTTAAGAAACTGTCTGAATAATTCATTGTCAAAATAACTTAACCTTATTCTTAATAAAATAATTAGGTACTTTAAGCAGATCTGATAAAACATAAAATATATACTTCTAACGATGAAAATGGAAATATCTCAAAAACACAATTTACTCTTAATTTTAATATGCCCTTAACAAGCACAAAATCACTTTCTTCAATACCATTGGATAAAATTTATTGTTTATATAATACTCTTATATTTAATAAAATAATAAAACAAATTAAATTAGGTTAAAAAAAATATGTTTTTTAAACAAATAAAAAGACCGGTTCTGGACCGGTCTTTTTATTACCACGGTCTGGATCGATCCTTTCCTTAAGAACCGTGGTCCGGTCCGAGGGTATCAGTCCAGTCCGGACCAAAGACCGGACCGTGACCTCACCACAAAGTTTTGGTGATGGAATCAGGTTGGGCCCATATTTGATTCGAATCTATAATACGAGGTCTTTGTTTGAAGATCTTAAAAGCATTTTTGAGATGAGTGTATGAAATTATAAATGAAAGTGGTGAAAAGTATCGTGTCTGGATGTAAAAAATTTGTTAAAATAAATAATAAATCTAACAAATAATATTAATTATATTCTACATTTTCCATAATATATTTGGTTTTTTTTTCTAAAAATTTATAGAAATCTTTTCAGAAAGATTTCGGGATAATCTATTCCATTGACATTGACTACGAAGGTATTCGTAAAATTTACTTTTAATTTATAACCTATTAATTATATTTTAAAATATAAATAAAATGTTTTTATAATATATCAAATTTATCCAAAATTAAAATTATCTAATTAAATAAAACAGAATATGGAAGAAAATATAGTCCATAAATCTATAATATGTATAAAAAATGATATAATATATAGAAAATATAAAACTTATAATAAAATTTTTAATTAATAAATATATTCCCGTTAGATGGCGTAATATATATAAAATTAAGTTTTTAATTAAAAAAATATGAATTATAAAGGCATAATTCTTTGCTTTGGATTAATTTATTTGGTACGAATTTATAAATTCATAAAAAAACTTTGAAGTTTCATTCATTATTTTTGGAGTTATGATGTCCATTCAGTTTAGTCATTTTTAAAAATATTTTTGGTTTAATAAATATATTTTTCTTTTGGCTCATTTTGTGTAAACTAACATATATAAATATAAATAAAACAGAAAAAAAAATTGAAGACCATCATTATTTTTGGAATTATGAAGTTCATTCTCAGTTTACATGTTCATTCTCAGATTACCTGTCAATTCACAGTTTTATTTTACCCGTACAATTTAAAATTTAAGAAGACTAATTTTTTGCCATTTACCATTATCGAACCCTTAATTTTCGTTTCAAAATCACAATCGACTTGAGGTACTACTATGCATATGGTGATTATTCATAAATTATATTATATTTTACTTTTCTCAATTTTTTAAACTCAACTATAAAATAATATTAATGGATCTTAATATAGATATTTTAATAAAGAGTTTTACTTTCAACCATAGTTTTAGAATTTTGAAAGCTGATGAGAGAATCAGAATATTCATTTAACATAATTATTTCATTCATTTAGCTTACATTGATTAAAAACTTTATGATTTATCCATTACTAACATCTGCATAGTTGAAGGTACAAAAAAATATATACTTTTCTAAATCTAATATATTTTATTTTAATACAATAAAGCCTTATTTTTTATATACTTCACTCTCCAACAGCAATATATAAGGGACTATCACATTACAAAGGTGTTTTAAAATAATTTTCTAAAGGTTCAGCAAATATAGGTATTCACAACTAAGCATAAATTATTTATAAGATTGTGAATTTTTTTGATATAAATTTCTATCTTTAAAAAAATTTTCTCAATTTTGCTATTCTGAAATTAAAAAATAAGGACTGGGCTCTCAACTTATTTGAAGCATCTTTCAGCCCTAATATCTCATCTTTTCATAGAGTAGTCTTATTATTATAGTTTACTTGTATATAAAAATTGTTCCTGTCAAAAATGATGGGGAATAATAAATTTCTCCTTTATTTGATTATTGGTAATCAGAAATGACCCCTTTGTTATTTGATAATGGAGGAATAATAAAATAACCTATTTTATGAGGTGTGAATCAATAAATTATCTTTGTTTTGATAAGAGCTTATTTAAATTTTTTAATATTATTTTTATAGGATATGTTAATGAAGTATATATTTATAGTACCTTTAATATGAACAAATAATTGTAACATATATGTGAATCAGTTGTTGGAAAATGACAAAATTCTCATAACCAGCCCAGAATGAATTTAGTTTTCCTAGCCCAGCCAGTTTCAATTTTTAACTATAGTTTTCTTGCCTAAACCAAAATATATGTTGATGAACCGAACTACATAACTATTTATGATATTGGGGAGTGACTAAATTAAAAACACCCTATTTTATTCATCAAATATATATTATTAAAAATGTACATGTCCTGACCACTATTTTTTTGTACAGCCCGGCCCAAAATTTCAGATTTAAGAGCTTTGGGACTGATTTGAATAATCTAAAAATGTCTTTATGTTTAATACATTTGAAATTTATAACTTATTAATTTAATCTGAAGAAGGTTTTGTAGGGCAATACATATATCTGTTTAATATATTTCAAAGACCTACAGGCCCTAAGCCCGGGCTGGCCCATATTTTCTAATTTTTTTAAAATATACTTGTGCCAAGTCTAAAAATTTTTTGAAAACACCTGGGCCAGGCCTGTAACACTGTGAGTAATGGATAACCTTGTGGTCCTACTTATTATTTTTATAGAAGATTACTTTCTTACTAATATGGAGGTAAAAGTTCATTATATATATATATATATATATACTATCAGATAACCCATCAAGAATGACCTAGAATAACATATTTATCCATTATTTGATAATGGGTTAAAAAAAATTTTGCCCTTTATTTGATTATGGATGTCAGAAATAAATTTTTCTTATATGAGTTGTGAATAAGAAATTTACCTTTATTTTAATGAAAGGTTATTTTGAGTTGTTCTATTATTTTTAAATATCTTAAGTGAAGTATTTATTTGTTACCTTCATTATACAAATAGAGTGGGCTTGTATTTATATAAATAATTTTTTACTTCTCGGATTTGTAAATTTTTAAGCTCAGTAAGATTTTTGTAGTTCTATTTTACAGTTCCACATGGGCTGGGTCTGATGATATCCCAGAAATTGAAATTGTTTCTTGGGGTAAGGGATAATGATTGTTCTATATCTCCAGGCACATATTGAAATAAAATCTGCTAAGATCATTAGTTGATTTCTTCGTTTTTTATATTGAAACTGTTTGTTTTTGGCTAAAACCAAGTCTTATTGACAAAATTTTCGTCTGGTTCAGTGGCGTAGCCAAGATTGATCCATGGGGGGGGGGGGGGTTAAAATTTTTGCCACATTTTAAAAATTTCTCAATTTTGTGCTTTATTGGTGCTTAACCACGATAGTAGCCAGCATAAATGAAAAAATTTTAGTAACTAAATTTTGGCCAAATTTATGATTAATACGTGACTGAAAGCGTTATTCTGAAAATTTTATCAAAGTTTAGTCAATTGTAAATTAATTCAAACCATTCGGTGTAGGAAGAAGAATAAGATCGCCCCCCTTCCCCAAACCTCCCATTTTTTATGATCACTCAATATATCTTATTCTATGTTAAAAATAATAATTTTAATTAAATTTTTGCATATAACAAAATTTTGCAGAAAATTTCATTATAGATATAGATTTTATTTATTATTTTATACAATAAAATAAATTTCAAAATGTAATTTTATACAGATTATATTAAAGATTTATTCTAAATAACTATATTTAAAAAAAAAATAGAATTACAATAAAATATGAGTAATTCTTGTGCGGTATTTAAAAAAAAATCTAATTTAACAATTATAATATAATGAATATAAATGAGTATATTAATAAAACATAAATAATTCTTATTAGAGATCCGCAAAAGTAGGAAAGTCGGGCTCAGTCGGGCCTAATATTTTTTTAAAAATTCGGGCCGGGTTGGGTCGGGCCTTGTAAATTTTTTAAAATATATCAATTTTATGTTAAATAAAAATATTTGATTTTATAAAAACTAGACGCCATATAACATATATTTTTTATTTTGAGTAATTATAATAATGAATTTCTATGATTAAATAAATTCGGGCCCGGCCGACAAAACTTTTTAAAAAAAATTTCGGACTTTTTATAAAATAATTTCGGGCAGGGCTGGGCTTGAAAAATTAGGCCCTATGCAGATCATTAATTCTTAGTGCAAATGCAATATTTTTTATTAAAAATAGTATATTACATAAATATTATGACTAAGAATTCATTATAATTACGTTTTGAATATAAAAATTTTATAATTAAGATTGTATTATAATAATATAGCAATTTTATAATTTGAATTTATAAAAAGAGGTCTACTTTTCTCTGAGATTAAGTTTTTATCTAGAATAATCTCCTTATAAATATTTAATATTGCGAATCCATTTAAACGGCTTTCACTGGTACGATTTCTTAAATAGGTTTTTAACCTTTTTAAAGTTGAAAAAGACCTTTCATTAGTGCAGGTGCTAATTGGTAAGGTAGCTAAGGTAAAAAAGCAATGTTTTGATATTAGGCAGGGAATCTAAAGTGCAATTATACATGGAGGCCTGCAAAGCATATTTTGGTCTCAAAGAGTACTCTATTCTGTCAAAATTTTTATACCAAAATTTGACATCACAAAGTAAGTTGACATACGATCTTGATAATTCATCAGAATAAAACTCTGAGATTTTCTTAATATCCTCTCGCGTTCCAAGTGTATTTAGACTCAACCGTCAAAAGAAAATAAAAGCTGCTTAAAATAAAATTGTGACTAATAAATCTTTCCTTTAATTGAAATAAAAATGTATCAATAAGGGGAGTAAAAATATTTATTTTATAAAAATCATCAATCGTAGATGCATCAATATTTGAACGATTGGACTATCTACAAACAATTCTAGGTTTAAAATTTTTATTCCCTTAGCGATCACCCTTACTTTCTCATTATATTTCCCGAATTAAATGATTTTTCTTTTATCTAAAAAATTAATTAAAATTTTTATAAAACAATATATATCATTTAAAATTAAAAATTCTTATTTGTTTTTTTAAATATATTTCATTTTCATATCGTATATAATTTTATTTATAAATTGAAACCATTTTATTAATAAAATTATTTGCAATAAGAAAAAAATTTTAAAAAAAAGTTTTTTTCCGAGGGGGGGGGGGGTTTCAACCTCCCCCCCTCTCATCGCCACTGGCCTGGTTCGTTACATATAATAGTTCGGTAGCCATTACTTTTGTCCTAATTCCAAGGAATATATCATTTTAATAAAACAAGCAAGAATATTATTTTCCCCGCTAGGCTTAGTATTTTTTTAGAAAAAATCGTGTAATTTACTTTAATATAATATTTTGTAACTAAGCAACTTTTATAGTTGAGTAGCTGGTTTGGGTATGTAACATAACCATGAATCAAAGGGCGTGAATTTCAGTTAGCCTTCATTATTGCATGGATGGATTAAACCCGAAATATGTGTTAATAACGGATTATTAAAATATTCGATTTAAATAATTAACATCCTATCTAACCATGCGAATTTTACCTATCATTAAACGTAACATATTTACAATGCGCTTATAAAAATGTCGTTTTTTATTTAGGAACATAATGGAAAATTTTAGAGAATTGAGCATTCACACGAAAACTGGTGAAAGTTTATATAATAATTCGTACATGTCAGATATTAAATTCCAGGTTATATTTACATCTTATAATATCTTCTTCCATTTAAACCAACTTTCATTTATTTTATCATATAAGGTGGGAGAGGACATAATGTACGCTCATAAAAATTTTCTATCATGTAAAAGTGAAATCTTTTATACCATGTTTTATGGTAACGCGAAGTTCGAGGATAGTTGCGTACGCGTTGAGGATCTGTCAAAGAAGGCTTTTGAAATCATATTGAAGTTAAATTTTCGATATAAATGCGTATTTAATTAAAAAATTTTACCTTGTCGCTACTAAGGAATATATACACTGGTGAAATTGATTTTAAAGGTATGGACAGCAAATTACTTTTAGAGATTTTATATGGAGCAGAAAAATATATGCTGAAGGATTTAATCTCAAAATGTGCAGAAGAAATTAATATTAGTAACGAGAACGCCGTTCCTTTTCCTATTTCCCGTGATGATGTAACTCAGCCTCAGATTATCGAAACTGATGATAGTTTTAGGGCTTTAAAATCATATTTGGCGTCATCGATTCATTCAGAAATGGATATCGAAGATTATTTAGTGGTAAATGTTGATTAGTTTATATTTTGACGACTATTTTAATTCTTAGCGTCATAAACTATGAGTAAGGTTTTGTATTTAATTCAACTAAATCTCCTAAACTCGCCTATTGATATAATACAAAAATTTATACACATTTAAATGTCAATTAATGGTCACCATATTTTTTTTATTTGGATAATTCTTTTTCCCGAAAATGATTTTCATAGGAACTTTCTTTTTTATTTTGCAGCTTTTCTCAAAATTTTAAAATATATTTTTTAGGGTCTAAAACGATTGAATATTAGTTTTCTGAGACATTATATCCTTGGAATAAAAATTGTTTCAAAATATTACAGAAGTTATGCAACTGATAAAACCTTATTTAAAATAACTTTGAATGAATTATAAAAAAAAAAATTGTAAAGTGAATTTTTGGTCACCCCATGTTTTTTTGCGTATCAGGTCAATTCAGCGAAACTTTTATCGTGAAGGAATTTTATAGCGATACCAATTCCGCGAATTTTTTTCCGCGAAACATTTATAGCGAAGACAATATCGCGAATTTATTTCCGCGTAACCTTAACCGCGAATACTTTATAGCGAATACATTTTAGCCAAACTTTTATCGCGAACTCTTTATAGCGAATTTATTTTCGCGAAATTTTAACCTAGAATACTTTATAGCGAATACATTTTGGCGAAACTTTGATCGCGAACTCATTATCGCGAATTTATTTCCGCGAAACCTAAACCGCGAATACTTTAGAGTGAATACATTTTAGCGAAACTTTGATCGCGAACTTGTTATAGCGAAACTTTAATCGCGAACTATTTATAACGAATTTTCTACCGCGAATGTATTTGCGCGAAATTATTATAGAGAGCGCATGACCGCGAAAATTATGAATTCATTTTAAGTGAAATTGATATATTCAATATCAATTTACAAACCGAAGTTTCTTAAATCATAAACGCGAATGTTTTAAGAAGATTTTATTACGTATTGTTTATTTAATAAGCATGTAACCTCTATCTGATGTGATAGAAAATATATTAGTCTTCCTGGTCTCACTCACTCATGGTTGTAAGTATGGAGCGGACATTTTGGGTTAAGTTTTTACCAGAATAAGTTAACCCTCCCCCAACATAAAATTTAAAAGTGTGCTTTATGTCATTTAAAGTAATACTTTATTTCTAATCTAGATAAAAAGCTAAGAATTTTTATTGATTTTCTCAGATTATTTTAATTATAGAAGATTTTACTGATAATTAATGCCTCCTAATTACAATTTTGAGATAATGCACATCGATATAACTTTGACATAATAGCAACTAATTCATTTCAATATTATGACCTTTCCTTTTTCTTCTATTCGCATTTTAATAAATAGAAATAACTGCAAAGTTATGATTAATCAAAAAAAATTCTATTATTACATAAATTTGTAATATTTATGAAGAATAAATTATGGAATAAATCATTAGATCTTCAATTATTTTAGTTTTTTATTTTTGCTGATTTCACAAGTCTAACTAAAACGTTAAATAGTTTTCATCATTTTTTAAAATAACACCAGTTCAATTTAAATCATAGCGTTTTTATGAAAACATCTCTAAACGCTTCTACTCAATTTGTAAGCACTTTTACTCATTTTTTTCTAATAAAATGGAATTAAAAAAATCAGGATTTTTTGAAAATAAATAGAAAATGTTCCAAATCAAGAAAATAAAGATATTCCAATATCGGGAAATCATGGCAAAATGGGTTAAGTGTTTATTTATTTACTTTTACATAATTTACCACGACAAGGGTGGGGGGGGGGTTTGTTAAAAACATGTTCTAAATTTTGAGAAGAGTATATAAATGAAGGATAATAAAAAATAATTATAAAAAGTGGCTATATTTGATTAAATAGGTGTCTTATTCAATTTTCTCATTTTGTAAATTGCAAAAATTTTTAGGCCCGGCCATACCTCCTATATTCTAAGAGTGAGGTGGGATTTTTAGTGACTAAAGGATAAAAAGCGGGAAAGCGCGACAACTGCAATCCTTTTATATATAAATATTGGTGAATAATTTTTTTCAAATTATAATTTACAAATTTAAATTTGAATTCGAATATTATCCATATTTTTAAAGTCAAAATATATAAAAATTAGATCCAAATCTACATATTTATCGGAAGGAATTTATTTTATTTAAAAGTTTATTATATATTAAAATAAATTTGTACTCTTCGCAATTCATGTCAAAGCTTTACCATTAATTCGGCCTCTATCGCTATAGAAAATTCGCGATATTTGTTTCGCTGAATAGTATTCGCTATTATGAATTCGCGATATTTGTTTCGCGGAATAGTATTCGCTATTATGGATTAGCGATAAAAGTTTCGCTATAAAATCCATTTGCGATAAACGACATTCGCGAAAAAGTGTTTCGCGATAAAAGTTTCGCTGAATTGACATGGAACCAAGAATACCTACCCTCATCATGAAAGGATTATTTTTTCTTAAATTTTAATTAACCCAAACAATAATAAATACGAAAAATATTTTCCCGCGTTTCAATTTTTTAAAATATTTATATTTATTATAGAAAATAACGGAAAATTTTAAATCATTTAAAGATCGCGCGAAAATAAATGAAAGATTGTTCAAAAATTCTTACATGTCCGATGTCAGTTTCGAGGTTTTAATATTTATTTAATTCCATTTAAACAAAGTTTTGGTTTATCATTTTAAAGGTGAAAGGGGAAATAATATACGCCCATAAACCTATTCTATCATGTCAAAGTGAAATGTTTTATACCATGTTCTATGGGAGTGTGAAATTGGAAAATAATTGCATAAGCATTAGAGATCTTAGTGTAAAAGCTTTCGAAGTTATCTTAAAGTAAATTATTTGTACAAATACAATGTATTTTTATTATATACTTATTTTCTACAAATACCATAAGGAATATATACACAGACAAAGTCGATTTTAGGGAAATGAGAGCTGATGAAATTTTAGAAATTTTATATGGAGCTAAAAAATATTTATTGGAGGACTTAATTTCAAAATGTGTGGAAGAAGTAAATAAGAAAACAGAATATTATGATAGGGCTTTTACACTATACCTAGCATCGCAAATTCATCCAGAAATTGATATTAATAATTGTTTTCATGTAAATATTACAAAATTTTTCCATTATATACAATAAAAATGATCAATTTTAGTGTCTTAAAGAAAATTATTATACCATGTTTGCTTCAAATGAATTTCTAAACTCACCTGTTGATCTAATACAAAAATATATCACATTTTTAAATGATATAAAATACATACCAAAGCAAATTATTTTCGCCTTTCTGGTAGAATGGGCCAAAAATGAAATCGCCAAAGATTTAATTTCTAACGATTCAAACAATATAATATCTAAATTATCGGAAAACAAATTCGATCCGATTTCTTATATAAGAGAATTCAATATCTTAGACATAAAAGAATTAGTACAACGTCATCATTTGTTAAATGACACCGAAATATGTGACATTTCTATAAAAAAATTTAATTATACCGAAAATTATTTTAGTTCTGAAAAATTGTCTACAGAAAGTGAAGTTTGTATAATTAATTTTAGAATCCCAAATATGGTACCATATATAACTGGAATAGATTTGATTTTAGATTTTAATGGCATACTAACTATTACAGTGAAATTATACGGGAGGGCCACCATTTATAAATATGAAAAAAAGATTTATAGACATTTTGAGTTAATTCCCGGAGGAATTGGCATTTATCGACCATATCTTTACATCCTCGAATTAAATGACGAAAATTCTTCTAAAATTGAATTAAAGTGGAAAAAAAATGACTTACTTATGACTTCTTCGAAAGATTGTAAAATTTCTAATGTATTATACACGTAAAATGAGATAAATTACCAAATGGGAATAATAGCATTTATCAAAGAATATTTTTGCAAAAAAAAATCATATGATTTTCGTATTAGATATATTTAATAAAATGTTTGTTTCTTCAAAATAATTCACTCTTATTTAATCATGATCCTGGTGGATGTAAAAAATAAAAATTTCCAATGCGATACATTATGACTATTTTATTTAGTTTAAGAAAAATATATATCCTAGAAGATAAGTTTGCCACCCTAAAACCTTCCCTTTATTAAAATTCTGGCTACAGCTAAGATATTTATATATTGATACCAAAGAATGAATGTATAATTTATTTAAAAAAATCCCAATAAAACGTTTTTAAAATTGCTCTGCAATATTTATCACATTAAGGTAGTAAAGTATGGGGGTCAGTATTTGGAATGATATTTTTCATTAGATAGGTATATTAAAAGCCAAATGAAATCGGTCCTAATCACGCCCCAGTCGTTCTTTATATGTGGTCCAACTGTTTGGTTCAACTAGCAATGCCATTAGTTACTTTAATCTATTCTAACATCGAGCCTGCTTTTTGTTATTATTAGTCTTAATTCTTTTTTGATAGTGACGACTAATAATTTTATTCTATTTCTAAGAAAATTATGATATTTTCCAGTTTTATATTTTTGTTTGTTGATAGTAAATTTTTAATTTTAGATTTTTTTTATAGTCACTAGGATAGATTAAAGAAATTTGTTTTCACTGCTTTATTAAATAATCACCACCCTGTTAGCATACTTCAGAAAGTGGAAGACAATCCTAACATTCATCCCATCTTTAATTAAGGCGAACGCTTCTCAGAAGCTATGCTATGTATGAAATAGTGTTGTTAAACGAACTCAATATTTGAGCCAGAAGAATATTGCCTAAGTCTAGAGATTTCGTTAGTATATGTCTTATTAGCTAAATCTTCAGACTTGCGTAGTATTTTTCTATATATTGAGTTAGCCGTTTTTAAAAATCAGCTCAAAACGAGCTGTTTAACAACACTAGTATGAGACGAGTCCCTCTATACAAATTTTCTCTCCCAATAATTATTTACCATAAAATATAAAGTTAGAATAATATACCATTATAAATAGTTTTTTATATATTCAGTTATTGTGCATTTCAATTTTCATATTCTTGGGCCATTTTTTGGTTTTAGAAATCCACGTCATTGTAGTTTAAACTAATCTAACCGCAAGGACGATTAAGATAATAATTGGCTTTGAAAAAGCTTTTTTCGCATTTAAAACCCTTGTTAAATGGCAATACTTAAAGAATTTTGGTTATAAATGAAACAATGTTTATAATTTGAAAAAAAAATAGATGACATGATTCAAAAACTTAAATACCATTCTACAATTTAAATACGCTGGATAAAAATCACTTTGAACTAAGATTTTGCGAGAAAAAAATAGATGAAAAATGCAGGAGAATTTATGATCTTTTACACTTATAAGCCTCAAAAAAGCAATTTTTTTTATTAAAATATAAAAGTGATTTTTAAGTTTTCAAAAATTTTTGCAAAGTTGAGACCCACCCATGAAAATATTTAGCACAAATTGTTAAACCCGGTCCAAAATAGGGTCAAGTTTTTGTGACTTTTAGTCTGAAGTATCTACCCTATTTATTTTTTGTGGGCATTTAATTAAACCGTTAATTATTTGATCATCTGGAACCTCTAAATTTGTTTGTGAATCTGTTTAAAAATTTTGATATTGTAGCTGTTTTAAAAATTATCATAAATATTTTTAGCTATTTTTGCATATTTGGTAGTGTTAAAACTTAAAACGCATAGAAGTGTTCTTTACGATGAAATTAAGAATCTTGATAAATTTTAATTGTATACTACTAATAAGTATTTAGTCTACAATCGATATAAATTCAAATAAAGTTCAATATGATATTTCATTGTTCATAAATATAATTTACTTATTAAAAATTAATAAATATTTGTAACTCAAAATTATTTCACAGAATAAAAAAAAATGTTACTAGACATCAGTGTTATTTACTACTTTAATGTTTTTGGTTATTTTAGTAAAATATAGCAATATTTTTTCAAATGTAGATCTTTAAATTCAGGACTACCATTAATATAATTCGTTCATTCATTACCACGCCAGAAATTGCACGAAGTGCAATTTCATCACCCACCAGGAGTTGTAGCGTGGGTTAGGGTCCACTAGATCGTATGAACATTTGTGAAAAAACGTCAAATGACCTAAAATGGCCACAAATATATTTGAAGCGATTATAAAATTGTATAATTTTGAAACGTTGTAACAGATTTGGCAAATAAATTAAAAAATGCTTTTTATTTTAAATTAAATTTAAATGGCTAAATGGTAATTAATATTTATATTAATACAAGAACAGTATATATTAAAAAATAAATAGCAGATAATTTACAATATTTTAGCAAACTCTTAATGCTCTAGATCCATTAATATATAATAGACAGCACAATTGTATTATAAATATATCTTTGATATAACATCATTAAAATTTATATGAAATATCTCATAATAAAATTTTTAATTAATATATAAAAATGCAATCTCTTTTTTTTGCATGATAATGTATAGATTGAATTAAATTTTTCTTAGAATAGATAATATTATTGCTCTAACCATTTGATTATTAGAATTTGTATAATAGCTTTGTTTAAAAATGATATAAATAGCAGATAATTTACAATATTTTAGCAAACTCTTTATTATAAATATATCTTTGATATAACATTATTAAAATTTATATGAAATATCTCATAACAAAATTTTTAGTTAATATATAAAAATGTAATCTCTTTTTTTTGCATGATAATGTATAAATTGAATTAAATTTTTGTTAGAATAGATAATATTATTGTTGTATTTTGATTTGATCAAACTATATTGAACCATTTGATTATTAGAATTTGAATAGTAGCTTTGTTTAAAAATGATATAAATAGCAGATAATTTACAAAATTTTAGCAAACTCTTTATTATAAATATATCTTTGATATAACATTAAAATTTATATGAAATATCTCATAATAAAATTTTTAGTTAATATATAAAAATGTAATCTCTTTTTTTTGCATGATAATGTATAAATTGAATTAAATTTTTGTTGGAATAGATAATATTATTGTTGTATTATTTTGATTTGATCAAACTATATTGAACCATTTGATTATTAGAATTTGAATAATAGCTTTGTTTAAAAATGATATAAATAGCAGATAATTTACAATATTTTAGCAAACTCTTTATTATAAATATATCTTTGATATAACATTATTAAAATTTATATGAAATATCTCATAATAAAAATTTTAATTAATATATAAAAATGCAATCTCTTTTTTTTGCATGATAATGTATAAATTGAATTAAATTTTTCTTAGAATAGATAATATTATTGTTGTATTTTGATTTGATCAAACTATATTGAACCATTTGATTATTAGAATTTGAATAATAGCTTTGTTTATATGCACTCTTTGTTTTGCCTAGTTTTCTAAAAAAATTAATTATTATATGCAAATTAAATAATATATACTTTAAAATTTTCTTATTGATAATTGTTGCGATTTAGCATTAATCTCTTGGATTTTCATAATTATTTTGGGAACAAACTACTTTGGGAACGAACTATTTTTTTTGGGAACGATCGAACTATTGCAATTACGACAAAAAACCTATTTCCTAAATTTTCATACGAATTAGAGGGACGATACCGTAGCGTGCACCATGTATATTCACTAGTATATAGATCCTATACATGATGTATACCCGTTTTATTATAGTGGACGGTACCACTATGTAGTCAGCTAGCATAGTCAAGAAGAGGGGATCTATTAGTTCCGTTACCGGCAAAATAGTGTTAAGAATTGTAGCTAATATTAATAATAATAATGTACCTGACACCTGGTTAGATTTAAGAGATGGGAAAAAAAAATTTCTTAATGTTTGGTAAGTATATCCTTGGAAGATAACGCAATGTCTATAGAATTCATGTTCACTATTATCATTATTATATTGAGCCTGGAGATCGTTATCATTATTAATATTCATGGTTTTAAGATTATCATTGACTTCGTCAAAAATCATAATTCCTATTGCGCCAAAACATAAGTTGTCATTAGACTGGGGATAAGAGATTGGAAATAAGGCAGTGCGAGAAATAGTCTGATAAGTCCATGATTCCTGCTCTAGCTTAAACCATATTTAAGCATGTATTGCAGATGTTCCTTTAAATGTTTCTTGTTTTTGCTGAGTGCAAGAAAATCTATAAACGTAAGATTGATCAAGTCCATGTCCTTCAGACATTTTGCCAGTCAATAGTATTTGGGGATTCTTCGCCTTTCATAATCCGGGGTCCACTCCATGGACGAAAATATCATATTATCTCGTGAATGTCTTAAGCAGTGGCCGAGTAATTCTAATCTCCTCAAAGGAATGAGTCTTTTGATAGGTAGGATGTCGCACTTAATTAATAATTTTAAATAAAAACAAAATGAGTTCACGTCAATGTCTACGGTGGCGAATTTGTTTTTAAAAAAATATGTTCAAAACTTAAAAGATAAAACCTAATCAAATTATTGTTAATTGTAAAACAACAAGTTTGCAATTTTAATTTTGCACAGAAAATCTTTTTTTTTATAATATAAATGACTAAAAAATATTTAGATATTCTGTGAGTAGAGTATAATATAAAAATGTTAATATTTTTTAAGTTTATGATGTTCTTCTTATTTCATTTTTATTTATAAAAAAAATTCATTAAACTTAAATCAAGTTCTTTCGCTTCTTCTTTATTAACATATGCAATTTGCGATATGATTTAGTCATGGCTGGAACTTAAATAAAATTTAAGACGTGTCAGAAGTTGAATGAATATTAAGCCTTATAAAATAGAATATGACTCTCAAACAATGATATAAATTGATCTCAAATAAAGGGTATAATTAATTATATATTTGTAATTATCTATAAAATAACAATATTTATAAAATGTCTTACATTCAATAAATATTATTAATTTTAAAGTTCTCATATTTGATTTGTCTACATGAGGTTTTAATTTATGCAGTTCAGATAAATTTTCCAATATAAACCCTAACTCTTATCCTTTTAGCATTATCATAACGCTAACTCCCTAACGCGTTACGAATATGGTATTAGGAATTAACCAAGAGAAGAGAAGGAAGAAAATAGAGGGTCAAGATATTGTTAAACGGATATGATTAGCCTATTTTAAATGAAAGGAAATATGTTATTTATTAAAAATTATAATATTTTGAAGTCTATTATAAAATATTTTTGTTAGAGAGCTTGAAAAAATAGGCCCGATGCAGATCACTAGTTGGAAGTACTAAGATTATGGTGACCACGCTAGCTATTCAAGCATAATGTCGATCAATCTACAATGAACTTGACAGCGATGTGGGAGATCCTTCAAGATTGATACTCCGATGGGAGATTAAACATACATTGACCTCTATAAAGATACATCGATGGGAGATCAAGCAACAATGGCCTTGATAATAATACTCCGGTGTTAGATCAAGATCATGAATACGAAACGATAAGAATACTCTCGTGAGATGTCTGTTTAAAAGGATACTCCGGTGGGAGATCCATCGATGTTGATACTTTAGTATGAGATCATCAATTCAATGAATTGATAAGAATACTTCTGTATAATATTTGTCGATATCAATTCTCCAGTGGGAGATCAATTAACAAAGAAACGATATTTAAAAAAAATTTAGGGGGGGGGGGTGGAGGAGAAGAGTGGATGTTAAAAAAAGGTAACACCACCCTTAAAATTAATGAAGGGGAAATGTATTAATGTAGAAATATATTGTAATATAATATTTATACATTATAAATTATTATATTCGTCAATTAGATATGGTTATCATGATTATATATTTATTGATGATTTAATATAATATTAGGGGTTAATTACCTAGCATCCATATTATCTATTTTAATGTAATTTCTTTTCTTTGCAGCATAGACCTAAGCTAAACGCTCTTGCGGTCTGTGAGTTTGGTTGTCAAGTATTAGCCTGATTAAACTCTTATTAAAATTAATATATCCAAAATATTATAACGATATTCAGCTTAAACAAAATGTATTTATTGAATATCTAAGCACATTTTAGAATAAACTACTTATCTAGTCTTTATAGATTCTTAGTTTGTACCAGAATTAGTTTTATTACGGTTTAAATAAATATATATTAATTGAATGAATAATGAACTTAAAAAATTAAAAATATTCCTGATTTAGATTATTTATATTCTTAAGGTTAGAAATCTTAACTTGATGTTAATCATAAATAATCCTAAAAAAATATACGTTAAACCTTAATTTCGATTCGCATGTTTTTCTGACAATATTCAATTGTCATCTGGTTACAAATATTTGACTTACATTCCTAGTGGATTTAACATAAAATATTTTTTTATTATGGGTTGTGACGGTGGAACCATTCCTACAAGGGATGAATTAGTAAAACAAAAACAAAAGCCCGAACAAGTAATATTTTGCTCTAAAAATAAATTTGAAGCTACATTAAAACTTCTTTAATTTACCCTTCTAATGATTTAACCAATTTAATTCTACTTCTATTCATTAGAATTCTAAATAACTGTCTAAATAGAATGAGATTTTCAAAAATATCTTGAGCCAATTTTTTTTAAATTATCATCTTATCGAAATCTTTTAAGTAAGCTTTACTGTATGTTATACCAATTTTATTTTTTAAGAATTGATGATAAATTTTTCAATCAAAGGATTTAAGCCAAAATTATAAATTTTATATAATAATTTATAATACAATAAATTTGAATATTACAAACAATTTATTTCTAAAACTGATAACTTTTGTAGAGACAGCTATATTTTAAATATTAAATTATGTTTAGGTTGATAAAGAAGCCGAAAGGGCAGCTAAATGGCAATACTGTGCTAGTAGCCAGGAAGAATTAAAACAACCTATTGTAGCTTGTCAGTTAGGAAAGTAAAAAAAATATTATCAAACTATATACAACTTACTTATATTAGATTATACAACAAAGAAATTATCTTAAATCATCTTATTACCAAAACTCTCATTCCAAATGCTCCTCACATTAAAAGTTTAAAGCATGTTAAAAATTTGAATCTAACCTTAAATCCAAAATATTTAATTAATGATGTTGCTGCAACTAGTTCCACATTAGATACAAAAATGGCAACAAAAGGCATTAAAAGTAATTATTCTGCAAGATATATATGCCCAGTCTTAGGTCTAGACATGAATGGCACCCACAAGTAATTCGTTTTTAAAATATTAAAATTAAATTTAAAAAAAATAAATAAACTTGCTTTTGATTGCATTATAGCATTTTTATATTTTTAATTTAAAAAAAATTAGATTTTGCTATATAATAACATGTGGCTGTGTTATATCTGAGAAGGCACTCAAAGAGATCAAGGAAGCAAGATGTCCTAAGGTTAAATCAAAATTTTTGCACTAAAATCATTCATGTATAGTTATAAGGGGCTCAATATTTATTTTGGTTACCAAACTTAATATTCCAAATTTGTTTCTATAAAAAAAACCTTTTGGAAACTATTGTTCCCCAAATAAACCTTTGCCCTTCTCAAATAAAGTTTCCTGGCTATGGGCATGACTAAAGTCCCAAGAAAATTTTTACCCACTTAAATGAGCTGAGAGTGTAAAACTTTAATTATCAAAAAGATAACATTTATTTATTTTGCTTGCTATTGATTATCAAATAAAACAAATTTGCTTGAAATGAATATAACCTTTTGTCATCAAGACCTTGAATATTTGTTTTAAAATATTTTAGAATATAATTTTTTTCTTCTCATAAATATTTTATAATTATAGTGCAATACAGTTTATTCCCGAGATCTAGATATAATTACTTTGAATCCAGATGAAGCTGAGTTGGAAGCCCTGAAAGTGAAAATTGTACAACGGTTAGCCAACACAAAGCTAAAAAATGGTCAAACACTGGTTTGCCAAAATGGAGATGAAATATCGAAACATAAAAAAACAAACGAAATTTCAAAAACCTTTAAAAAAAGTTTTTATGACATTTTTTTTTCTTGCCATTTATCCTCTATTTTTTCTCTTATTATCCTGTATAAAACTGTTAATCCTTCTCTTTTCTGACGCTTTGATTTAAAAATATTCCTGTCAAAATTTAAACCATTTATTTTTGTTTTACCTATAAGAAAAATGTAAAAATTAACGATAAATAGTTACTAAAATGGTCAATGGTGGATCATATAATAATATAGTGTTGTTAAACGACTCGATTTGAGTCGATTTTTATGATTTATTCAGAAAAATATTACGTGAGTCTAAGGATTTTGCTAATAGATGACATGACACAAAGGTTTGGGCATCTATTAGCGAAATCTCAAGGCTTAGGCCATATTGTTATGGCTAAAATATTGAGTTAGCCGTTTAATGATAACAAGGATTACAAATTTGGATGGGCGATCTCTAGCTAATTTGATTTGTAAATCCAATTAATTAAAATGAATAAATTATTTAATTTCATTTATGACCAGTGGTGTTGCTAAACGGTCCGATATGGGTCGATTTTTTAAAGAAGGCCTTATTAATATTTTAGCTAAAATTTCACCAAACCTTTCTGCCATCTATGATGATATTATTTTGGATAAAATCTTAATAGGGCCATTTTTTAAGAATCGACAGGAATCGGGCCGTTTAACAACAGTAATGACCAAAGACCTGGAATTAAACCAGAGACCAACTAAATCGGTTATTTTGTCCTGGTCCTTTATAAAAAAAATAGGGTTAGGGGAAATATATTTAAAGAGCCGCCAAATTTATTTTTCCTCTGGGCAGTCAAAAACCTTTCTACAGCCTATCTAACCAATACTTGTCACATTTATTTGCCCCCAGTTACATTGAGGACAATTATAACATTTATGACCACCATGTTTAAAAACAAATGAAACACGTATTTGATTAAATGGGTTGTAAATTTTACCTGAATCAGCATTTTACAGCTTATAGCTCACTTAGATTCGGAATTAGAGGTCTTCAGGGTAAGATCTTTATTTAACGTATTTATTTATCGAAAATTCGCAAGTAATATAGAATAGTCCCTAAAATTCTCTCTTGGAAAATATAATTTTAAAAGAATATATTATAAATAGGAAAAAAATTTGAGAAGGTTTCTTTTAAAATCTTGCTTGAGTTTTTTTTTACATTTTGAGATTAAAAAAATGCCATATAGATCGCGCTATTTGTTTTAATTTTATTTTTAACCTTAATATGGACAGGGTCGCGATCGCATGTTGGGATCAGACCTCAAATTATGCACCCTCCCCAACAGGCCTAATTAATGTTCTTACTATCAGTATTTCTTCTCCCTTACTTTAAAATTATCGTTCGCGAATTATATAAATTAGTTATTTTCTAACATTATTCTCTCAATAATAAATACGAAATTACTGAATAAATTTGGCCATCTTAAAAGATCTCTCAAAAATGGCTTAAAAAATTCCTTGCATTGACCTTGAATATAGGTTAGTAATTTAGGGAAAAAATTTACTCGTAGTCTGACATTTTATGCTTAAAAAGAAATCTCGAAAAATTTTAAAATAAAGGATGTTTTTTTAGAATGACATGATTTTTGATCAAATTTTTTCTATAATTCCAAATCATTTATAAGTAAAAATTTCGTGATTATTATTCATAAAAAAATCTTTCGTGTGATGAAATCACAAATTTTTTATTTTTACCATAATACGATATTTTTAACTCACTTTTATTAATTGATTTTTATTTTATCTATTAATCTTTTTTTATTATAAAAATATCAATTCTTGATCTTCATTATTTGATTAGCTAGATTTTACGAGTTCTAAATTATGAACAACTAATAAAAAATTATAAATATATTTTTATATTATTTATATAGCCAAAAGATTACTCGCTGAAGCCAATGACGTACCATCGCCTACCTTATCAACATCGGCAAATACAAATAATATAGTGAAAGCAGCTGTTTTAGAGAGCCACAAGAAATTGTGCAGAGAAGATTTTTTTGCTTCTAAAGCTTACAAATCTATATTCAGCTCATCCACCCAGGCCCCTTCTTCTTGATATGGCACCAACATTATTTAGTACAACACTTAAAATTTACGTACAAATGATTTTTCTTATTATATACCATTGGGAATTTCATTAATTTAATATTTTTGAAAATGTATTTTTTTTAAAATTATGTAATATATTTATATATAAATACACAATTATTATATTTGCGACTAAAATTGACACAAATTACTATTTTAGTTAAATATAGTTATTCAAAGCAATATTTCACTGTGATATTTATTTGCCTATAAGAGATGATATGTTAAGATAATAATTATTCATTTGCCCTTTTAATTAAAATATATGCTTGATTTTTTAAAATGAATAAAAGTAAAATCAAGGTATAGCGAAAAATAAATTAAATAAGAACATTAGCATAATATACACATGCATTCTATTTAAAAAAATTAACCCTAAGTCATAAGGATCAAATTGGGTAAATGACTTGCTTTGCTTCCATTTAGTTTAGTAATCTTAACTTCACCTGCCATTTAAATATTAATGATTCGTGAATATATCATAATATTGAGGCCATGTATATATTTATTTACCTTAGAATGCATCGCATCCTATACATTAGAGGTCTGCATTGGGCAGGATTTCGGTCCACTCGCCCGCAAAATTTTTTTTAAGAATGGGCAGACGGGCGGGTGGGTTAAAAAATTTAAAATCATTCAAGTAAATATTTATAAAAAATTGTTCCTATGAACTTTTTTGGACAAATTAAAATGTCCTTTTTTGGTATCATAATAAACACCTTTTTCTTAAAATAAATAAACTTTTTTGTATATTTAAAACTACTTTGGTGCAAACGACAAGAAAGATTTGCCAAAGCTATCAAGATTAGCAAGAAAATTATTGGTAATTCCTGCAACTAGTGCTTCTTCTGAACGAGGATTTAGCATTGCTGGAAGGTTTTTGGAACAAAGAAGAACGCGTTTGAATCCAGAAAATGTCGATTCATTATTATTTTTGCATTATTAATTACATATAATATCAATTATATATTTATATTAATTGCATATATATTATTTGATCAAATAAATTATCCATAATTTAAATTGAATATTTTTTTATGCTTAATATAGTAATTTTCTAAAAACTTTTTGTAGCGGTGTAATATTTTTTTTTAATTAGATGCTTAAAAAATTGATAGAATTGTCATAATTAAATTTTATAATAGCTGGCTTGGGTTAAAAAATTTTTTATAAATAAGTGTTGAGTTTGGACCGATGGGTCCCCCAGTCTGAAGGGGAATAATACAGTCCGTGATCGGGGGTCCGGGATGGTCAATGACTGGATCCAGGGGGCCGGGTTTTATCGATTTAGTCATGGAATCACTTGGACAACGTAAGTTTTAAAGTTTATTCGAATCAGAGAAATTACAATTAAAAAAAAGAAATTCTATTACAAAAAAAAATATTAATAATGGTGTTTTGTTTTCCACCTTTATAATTTTTAAAACAAAGGGGGAAAGAAAAAGTTGTTATTTAATCGCGATATAATCATTCATGAAACTGGTAAGAACCAGTTTCAAATGCAATATAAAAATAAGGTATAATATATTAATTTCATAACAAAATAAAAGAAGATGGGAAAACAAAGAAACAAGGAGAAATAAAAATAAAAGAAATAAGGGGGGGATAGAACATGGGCTGGTAAAAATTTTTAGACTAATGGGCGGGCGGGTTAAATTTAAAACATTAGACGGGCAAATTTATGGTTCAAAAATCCGCCCAATGCGGACCTCTACTATACATTACTAAAATGATTATACAAATTGAAGCAGTTTTTTAATGGCAAATATAGTTCAAAAGTTTTATTTGCTTGTTCATATTAGATCTTGGTTTAATCTTGATCAGTGATCATTTTGAAGAAAACAGATCAATTTAATTTTTTTAAATATTAATTTTTAAAATGTTACATTACCCGATGATCTAGACCGAAACATAGATATGGGTTAGAGAATAGGTATAATAAAGTAAGGGTTAAAAGACAATAGAAGCATCATCACTTGCTATATTGCAGAGAAATTTGCGGATGCCAGCCTCGACACAAAGCAATTAATAACAATATTGCTTATATACCATTAACCTTCGCCAATTGATCTCCTCAATGATAGTTTATATATACCAGATGGTATTGCTTCAATACCCTGTAACGAACTTCCTAACTAAGACTATATTTGTAACATTTCTCGGTTAACGCAAATAATTCGTACTTTGCTTTGGCACATTCCTATATCTAAAAAATATATATTTCTATTTTCAAAATTTAATACGTGCCCATAGTTAATGGCAAACACCCTTGGGAGTCGTAAGTGAAGAAAAATTTATAAATAAAAGCAAAGAGTATAGAAATTTTCTAAAAGATTAGCTAATATTATGAGGGTTAGTTATCTACGACAACAGTAGGATGTTTTTTAGAGATCTGTTCATCTTACTTCCTAATCATCAATTCTTGTATAACCTAACCTAACAAATTTTTAAAAAATATTTATTTAGCTTCTCCTTTTTAGGACAATTTTTCAGTTATCTTCTTTTTTTTTAGCTAATCTTTTAGAAAATTTCTATACTCATTCCTTTTATTTAAAAATTTTTCTTTTGTATACAATATTTAATAATTTTTAATATTAATTTTTCAATCATGTTTTCCAAATTATAATATTTGAAACTTCGTTTAAAAAGGGGTTTGGCTCCGGTTTATAAATTTAACATGGGTCCTAGAATTCCGGGTTTTATTCGATTTTTCCAGACACAGTTGAGGTAATCAATCTTTAAAGTATCTAGACAGAAAATAAACTCCTAAAATTCATCACACAATAACAGAGTCTTATATGCTCTTCAAAATTAAAATAATTTTTGGCCTCTGTAGATAATTTAAATAAAGATTTTTTTCAAGAATGCACACTTAAACAGAATTTTTTTTCAAATAATTTTTTTGAAAAATACCAAATTTTTTTAGAAAAATTTTTATCCTCTGTTAAAAAATAATTTTTAAATTTGTGATCTTCGATGATTTTTAGATTAAAGCTTTGGGTAAAAAAAATATTCAAAAACGATATTTTTTAAAAATTGCACAAAAATATAATCAAACATAAATGATTTGCACTATTGTTATAAAACATTTCTGGAACCAGATTCGATAAATTGTCTTAATCGGTTCTGATTCCGGATACTAAGATTTGTCTTCTATCCGGTTTCAAATTCTGATTAGTAATAATTTTTTACCGATTATATTGTTTTTATACATGTGTTATTATGTTTCTCTTTATTATACATTTTATAAACCATTTGAATTAGCTTCATCATAGCCTTTATTAAACATAAGTTTTATATTGATGTTTATAAATATTATTATTTTTATCATTTTTTGTTTTTATTGTTGAGATTATTACAAATATTTTTGTTAATCATTTCTTTCTCAAGAATTCAGAATTTATTGAAATATCCAAATAAATTAGATTGTTAATTAATTATTTTCTTTGTTAAAACCCTTGGGATAGAGACTTCAAAGATTATTTCCAACCTTGGAACTTACATAACAACCATGAATTAATAAAGTAAACGCTCGTCAATATTTTTAAGCAACGCTTGCTAATTGTCCATTTTTTATCAGCAAATTCATTCATGGTTTTAGTGGTCATTCTGTATTTGAAATATCGAATTTAGGCATAAAAAAAATTGTCATCAGTATTGATATCTTAAGCATATCGACATATCCCTGAAATTTAATGTTTCTGTCAATGTTGATAACATACATTTTTACTTGTTCCATCTTTATTGTACCAAAAAAAGTTAAAGAGAGGTTCTTGTATTTGTATTCGGTGTCACTTTTTTTAAAACGTAAACTGGCTTCTCAAGTAGAAAAGTAGTAATGCGATATAGATCTTTCTCGATCGAAATGATCAAACTCAACAGCTGATAAGTCCGCTTAATTTCTAATATTCTCTTTATTTTTACTTTTATTAGATAATGAGCAAATTATTTTTGAAATATCTGTCGGATCTTTACCAATTATCGTTAAAATTTCTATATAAATATTTTTTTTAAACTATCGCCAATAGAAAGTAAAAATCTTTAAGGATAATATATTTTTTATATTTAAGAAAATCACTAATTTACCAGTTTTTTTCCATCATGGTATAATGTACCTTTTATTTTAACTACATTACCAAAAAAATCAGAGCCATATAAGATCAATCATTGGTCAATTTTATTTTGTGGGCTCTCTATCAACATGTAATAATTTCTTTAGGGATTATATTTTCATATAAACATCTAACATGGAATGAAAATGTTTGAAATATACGTATGAATTCCACTCCAAATGATAGTATATCAGATGCCCTTTATAGCTTAGAAAAAAAAAATAATTTTAGGGTTAATAAGATATTGAGGCAAAATTATATCATCATAAAAATTATTATTGGTTTGTATATAATAGATGAAGTAATTTTATTTATTCTTATCTATATATATTAAGATATAGTAAAATCCAAAAAACCTTTTTTAAAATAAACATTAAATGAACTAAATTTTAGTCTTACAAATATCAATTCAAATTATGAAAATATGAATGTTACTGAGAATAATAAATGCCCAATAATATATTCAATAAAGACTTCTAGCAATAGTGATTTTATAAATAATACATTCAAAAATTCATACAAATTTATTAATCAGAAAATGTTAAAGATACCTCTGACTAATGATATGAACCTTTATAATGACAAGGAGCTATACTCGCATAAGCATATTCATGGATATATTGAACAGGGTGATGATAATGTAATTAATGATAGAAAATTGACATCATTGGTCCTGGAGACTCCTAAAATTAATTTACAAAATGTTTATGATAGTAATAAAACTTTACTAAAAACAAAATTATCAGGATCATCACATGTTACTCGCCATAATAAGAAAAGTTCTAAAGATTTATCATTACTTGATAACTTAAAAAAGGGTATATATATATATGTATAATTTGAAAGAAATTTAAATATAATATATATTTTCAAACATTATTTTTTAATTCACTTATTATAACAAACATATGATATATAGTATTTTTGGAATGATATTTATATTAAAGTCACTTGAAAATAAGTTTATTTTATATTTTTCTTTCTTTCTGATTAAATATCACAATTAAAAGATTTTAAAACATTTTAAATAATTGAGAAAAAGTTCATGTAATTTTTAAGTGTTTCATTTTTATACCCTATTTTGTAATAAATAGAAATAAATAAATATAAACATCATAAATGTATTAAGCTGACTTCTGAATATTTAAAGTAAATGTTCTAGTTGGGCCAATTTTTTTTTTACACCTATGGATTTTATTTAGGACATATTTTAATTTTGTAGGACTCTAATTTACATCTTGATTTATTAGGAGTTTCATCCATATGTTATTTTATTACTATATATATGGATTCAATAAAATTAACTAAATAGGGTTATGCCAATATTAAATATTGTATTCAAATGTTGAAAAAAAACATCCAATCTATTATTATCATGGTTTTTGTTTTATTATTTTAAATTTTATATTGTTATATATTTTACATAATTTCTCAATAAAATAAATGAATAAACCAAAATTTAATTTACAATGTTTTAAAAAAGAAATGGTATTTTAAAAGGAAGTAGCCATAAATTACATTTTTTTAAATGAGATGCTGATTTTTATTTTAGGGATGAAAAAAAAAGTTATGCACATAATCATTCATAATAATTTGCCAAATATCATCTTGACCATAAAAAACACAAAATTTCAAAGTATTTTTTGCTTTGTTCCTAGGATTGCACAGTTAAATATTTTTTTGTGTAGAATTGATTGATTTTTTTAATGTAAATAAATATTGGATTGGATTAGGGAAAAACTTGTGGATTAGCACAACAAATCTTAAGTTAATTATAGGTATTTCTTTGTTGGATGTTTTTTCTTAGAAAACAAACAAAATAAGGTGATGTTCCTATCAGTAATATTATAACTTTGTTGTGTGATTATAATACCAAAGTTATCCATTCAAAAATGGAGAATATGCTATATGAGAAAATGATGTAAATTTTAAAGGATTAGGATATGAAGGAAATCTCCCCCTAAATAGAAATGATTATAGGGGAAAAAAATGTGATAATCTGGAAGTAATTGATTGTTATTTTTTTTTTAAATCATGTTTCAAAAATTCTTTCTTTGGCTGCTACACTGTTTGCATCAAAAAAATTATTTGCCCTTTTTAATTTTTTTTCTCCAAGTTTTTATTAAATTATATTATCGTCTGCCTTTTTTATTTGAGCCACATTCTTATCTTATAAATATAACTGGACGATGTATACGAAATAGTTCAATGACATTTATAACACAAAATATTTAAACTATCAAAATATTTAAATTATCAAAAAATTTAATTATTAAATGACCTTTTATTAACGCTCAGAAAATCGAACCATAATTTTGTAAATTAAAAAGATATTAGTCGTGTATCATAAAGACGGCGCAGAAATTTTTTAAAAGTAAATTCTTATATTCTTATTCCAATGAGATCGCTCAATATCAATATCTTCGCTCCAGTGGCGTATCCAGGATTTTCTTATAGGGGGGAAATAATTTTTCCCGGCCTTCGGCCGGGTCTTATTTAGCTATTCTATTAAATTATGAATAATTTAATAATAATTATATTTCTATTTTTAACTATTATTTACTAATTCGTGCTTATGGATAGGATATTACAAGCCTCTTTTTTATTATTTCAAGTTAGGTATATTATATTTAATAAAGTTTTTTTAAATGTAAAGGTTTTTTTAAATGTAAAGTTGAAATAAAGTGTAATGTCATTTTTTTTATAAAATTTGCTTTAAAAACTAGCCTCAGCTTAAATTCTCATACAATATAAGTAGAATATACTTTTTTTATTGAAAATACTAATAGTAGTTTAAAATATTGACTAGAAAATAATTAAATTAACAAGTTTTTTTAACTTCTTATCAAATACAAGATTTTTAATTATTTCGTTTGTCGTTGGAACCAAATCTCTGTGTATATTTAACAGAGCTAACCCATTTAGCCGAGATTCAGTACTTCGTATATATGTTTTCAACCTTCTCAAGTTAGAAAAAGTCCTTTCATTCGTACATGTTGTAATAGGCAAACATGCAAGAATATAAAACAACTTCGAAATATTAGGAAATTGAGCCAAGGTTTCTTTACACCGATTGAGCGCATCAATAGCATGCTCAGGTAAAATAGCTAAACGTATAAATATTTGTACCACAATTCGAATTCACTGATTAAATTTATTTCAGTATCAATCTCATAGGAATAAAATTTTTCTAAATATTTAATTTTACCAATAGTGGCATTTGAAAATGAAGAAGGATCTTTGGGTAATAAAACTTGAAGATTGCTAAAGACTTGTTTTTTATCTAAAACCCGTACTTTTATTTGCGATAAAAAAGTATCTAAGAATGGGATGAAAATGGATATTTTATAATATTCTTCAGTTGAGCCAATATTTATCTTCATCTCAATAATGGCCTAGGTGCTAGACGAGGTTTAATTAGTATTATATCATAAAATTTAGCCTTCGATTCAACGTCTAGATAAATATTATGAAAATATTTATCTATATTTATCTACATTCAATCTTATTGTATCTACCTGTTCATGTATATTTTCCGCCAAATCAATAACCTGAACCAAATCTAAATTTGGTTTTTGTAAATTTCTACAAAGTAGTGAGCTAAAAATAATTTATTGATGCAACTAGCAGCAATGATAAACTCTGATTGATCAATTGAATTCAATAATGATATTGCTGCTAACGACACATTACTTTTTTTCATGCTCAGCCTTATTTATAAATTATCGTTTGATTTCAATCTCTTTGACTAAATATTTTTCCATTTTATTAATATTTTTGAATAATATGTTGGAAAATTGATATTTAAATATTTGTAAAATTTTGATTGGTGGGGGGGGGGGGTTCTGGAGGGTGGGGGTAAAATTTTTATTAGCTTAAAATGATATTTATAAAAATAGTCAAATTTGCGATGGGGGGGGAAATTTCCCCCTTTCCCCCCCATTGGTTACGCGCCTGCTTCGTTTATTTAAAAATGTCATCAAAGTAAATCCTAAATACAATTGATCTAACATCGGATATTCTAGATATTGATAGCTCACTGTTCCATATTCTGATACCCGTTTTCAAATTGGATTCCAATGATGATACATGCCACTCAAATGAGAACATTTAAATTAAATGTCCCAAATTAATTATGCTCGAGAGCATATCTGGGAGCCAGTCTAATTATCTAATATTTTGAAAATAATTGTAATCTCAAATATGTATTTTGATAATTCTAATGTTCAAATGCACCTCTCGGAGTATGTACGCTTGTGTTTTGCGTTATAATGCATGATTAAGGGGAAAAATATGTCGACGATCAGGTTAGAATCCTGCTAATGATGTATATACTACTTGATGGCTTATGGTTTGACACGCCGACTAATTGTCTTATAGATCATTGTATAAATAAACACTCGTGTCATTTAATCGAACGAAACCGAAAAATGGCACTAAAGCTGAATTCAAATGTATCTAAGACTTAATATATTTCGAGACACCCTGGTATATTTAAAATAACTATTCTTTTTTCTTTTTCTAAAAATTTTTCCACAATAGATTTGCTCGACCCATCTTCCCAAATTCAGCCTTTCATCATCGAAGCGGCGCACGACAAGTTTGATCGCATCAAGAATAGAAAGAGGTCCAAATTACCCCAAGGCGATCTTCCTATCACGGGCACATTAACTCTCGATAAGCTCCCATTAATTAATCGTTCTCCGAAATCCCTCACGAATAAGGTGAGCACGGATAGCAAGGTTATATCCGCGGAGATGATAACCCCTCCTAATCCTCTCCCTCGGTTAAAATCCGTCAATACGAAGCCCAAATGTCGCAACGCCTTGAAAAGACGAGAGCCCGCCAGGTTCAGGAACCTACCGGTGGGCCTTAATTTAAAAGTGAGTTTTTTTTAAAAAATATATAATTTTTCTTCTACTTTGCGTTTAAAAACATCACCAATAAAGGGTAATTTTTAAACGATCCACAACTAATTTTATGTCAGTTCGTATAATGATTGGCATATTATGGTCTCCCGAATTATTGGTGCGATATGAGGATGTTTATAGTAAAAACAATTAAATCGCGAGGCTCATTACATTGATTGAACGTTTAAAGATTGTAAAAGGTTTAGTTTATTTTAACCTTACCTAAGCTAGCTAGGCCCATTTGACAGATGATGTTAAATTGTGCCACAAATTAGAAATTATTGAAAGCAAAATAATATAATTATTTTAACGAATTTTCGATATATTATATTATATATATATTTTTTAAAGTAGTTTCTGATGCGTTGCTACAAACGTCAATTACCCCTTATTCATGGTTAACGCTACTTTGCCGCGAATTTGCGTTAACTGTGAATGCAGGGTTATGCGTTTTTAATTAGGATTTCAGCCAATCAAATATTGCCTAACCTTCGAGGAAATTTCCTAAAATAAGGAAGAAATGTTTGGACTTCTTTCCATCAAATCTCGAGGTTTAGGTAATATCGGTTAATGACAGAACATCTTGTTTTAGCCCATTTTTTTAAAGAGCGCAATGTTTATTAATCAATATATAATCTTAAATATTTTAAGACCCTGATAAACTTGACCACGTGGCACAGACTCGATAGCCTCGGTCACGATATGAATCCGCTTGTATCGTTGCTGCCTCTTTTGGATAGAGCAGCTTTCGAGACGAAAACAGGTTCTAACCGGCGTAACTTGGAACCGGGCTTAAATCCCCCATCGCCACTTTCGGTCTTGAATAACGAGTTTTTGAGTGCATCCTTATCTGAGTACCACAAACGAAGAAGGTTTTTATCACCCTCAGGTTTATATATATATTTAATTACGTTTTTCTATTGTTAAATTTTACGCTTGTAGAACAGCTATAACCTTAACTGTAGGGTTATTAAAGTATATAGTAATATAGTCTAGTAGAGGCCACGTTGCTTCTTTTTAAAAAAATATCGAAATTACTCTAATTCCCTTATTTTTTTTTAAAAAAAAGGTAACTGTAACATTTACTTTTTTGAATGAGATAACTTATAAGTTATAACTCGCATGAAAAAAAATATTTATTATTAATTTGATTTTTTTTACTTAGTCATCAGAAGCCGATCGATCAAAAGGAAACACCCGATATTAGCCACTTCAAAGAATTTGGATCTAGATTCCAATAAGAACCAGGTAACTGCTACCAATAAAGGTCATAAAAATGATGTTGGCTTGGATAGAGCATCATCTAAACATGTCGGAAGGCCTTGTAAGGGAGAAGGGAGGAGTGTGTCACGGGAATTGCTAGATAATCAAATACTTTGTTCTCCCAAAACTGATTTAAAGGTTAAAATTTAATTTAATTTTTCTTTTTTTTTAACTATTCATTTTGATTTAAAAATGACCCGGCACAAGCTGGGAAGAGGAAAATTCCTTCTGTAGAATCCACGGGGTATTGGAATTTGAATTTTGAATCGTTTAGAGAGCTTATAAATGGCTCTCAACAGTATAATTAGATATTTGAATCCTCAATACATTTCCTATCCTAATACGAACTACTATGTATATAAACTTTTATTAAAACGATGAATATTTAGCAATCACACTCTGTCCATGTCTCGTAACATCCCAAAATTATCTGTCTTATGAAGGGATAAATCATAATTATATTTTATTTTTTATATCGCAGGCCCTGATAAACACGCACGCGTGGGAGAAGCTAGAAAAGTGTGGGCAAAATATGACCCATCTGACATCCCTTCTGCCTTCAACGGATCGAGCGCTATTCGCCGCCGCTCAAAAACCCAAAGATACCATAAACAAGTCTTCGGTCCTAAACAACGCATTCCTAAGCTCATCGTTGGTCCAGTGGAAGTCTAATCGCGCAAGTAAAAAAATGGCCGTTAAAAATTTATTATTTACAAAAAAAGATATGTTTTTCCGAATAAATTCTCATCGGGTATTTAATGAGACAAGGTTTTGGAAAAGTTTCAACTTATCGATTAAAAAGTCAAAAAATTATTTGATGGATGAAACATTTCTTCTCTTGTTTAAAAAAGTTATTTAAAAAATGAAAAATATATTTTTTAAAAATCCGGGCTCGACTATAAAAAATAAAATAAATATTCCGGGCTGGGCTATACCGGAAATGATTTTGAATACCTCTGAAGGTCTTTTACAGGCACGGACTGTGAAATCAAATTAGGGTTCAGGCATTTATGATTGTTTGGTTGCACATATAGACCTAAAGTAGGTTCAGACTCCTTTCAGAAAATTGGTCTCGATTTTGCTTTTGTCATCAAACTCCGCTAAATTGAGTTTAAAATTTTGAGCTCAGATTAGGGATCTCAGCTCTGTTGAAAAGTGATGATTACAACACTTATTATATACCTCCTTTTTTAAAATGCCTCCTTCTTGGTTTAGGACTAGAGGACAAGATCAAGATGTCTCCCAACAACAAGGAACGCCGTTGCCATACTACAACTTCTTTTCCTTCTCAAAAAACGAACTTACCTAATGATCACAAAAATATTGTTGCTCAAGTAACATTTAAAAAATTTGATTCCTTTCCGTTATTTTAATTCTCGAAGGCGCCGAGGGGCGGGGTGGGGTTAGGTAGGTAGGATCACTGTGCCTCCGGAAATTTAAATATTTATATTTCTGCTAGTTTGGAATTTCTACTCAAAAAAAGAGATTAGTTTTATATTTCCACGCGGTTTATAGGTTTTTTAATTAGAAAAGAGTAAAAAAATCTAAAATAATCTATGAAATAAAATCAAACAACATTTTGAATGACGTTTCACTTTTATTACAAGCGATTTCGGGTCTTAGAAATTTTAAAATGACTCCCCTATCTTTAGATAATTTAACAGGAAGGGGTTCTGATTCCTAAACCTTTTGTTCCTGTTCCAAAATGATTTCTATGAAGTTTCGTGCGCCTTAATTTAACGGCTCCTAAGATTTATAAACGTTTTTTCTTGGAGGGCAGAAAAGTACATTCTAATTTAAATATTTCATTTTTGAAGCGTTATTTAAGAAAAAAGTTTACATACTTTTTACAATATTGCGTGTCTTAATTAAAGTAATTGCTTGCAAAATGGAAATAAAACGTTTATCATGAACAAAAAAAAATTGATTTTTTTTTAGATCTCTCTTAAAGAAGTGGATACGTTTTGTAGGGTAGTCATAAAGGATTCGGCAGGGGATCAATTCGCCGAAAACAAGACTTTCGAAGGTTTAACGACGGAAAACGCTTCGCCTTTTAAAGGGACTGATTCCATTGGTGAACAGGGAAGAAGCATGTTTACGCGCAGGCTAAAAAAGTTTATCATATATAATATTATTATCTGTTTTACTTTTTATTTACATTCGAGCATCATTATTTCCCTCTTATAATTTTCGGCCATTTTATTATCATGATATAATGACAATCTACTTACAGTAAAGTTGTTAGAAAATGTATTTGTGGTATTATATTTACTCCTTAATTTTTGTTCAAAGTTTATGATAAATATTTACTAGTTGAATTTTCCAAAACTAATTTTTTGTAAAAAAAATAGCTTTCAACACCTATTTTTTTACATCTAGATTTGATTGGTAAAAGAAAAAAAATGAAAAGCCTTAATTAAGTTGGGATAGTTCTATCTTACTGTGTTGGGAATAAAAAAAACCAGGAACAACCGGTATTTTTTATCGAACCCGAACCTGTAAATAATTTTCTACCCAAACCCGAACTGAACCGCTAAAAATGCTTGTAAACCGGTTCGAACCTCATGTTAAGAAAGTTATGATAAGTCCTAATTGTTTGAAAAATTGATTGATAAGTTATCGGTTAAAGTTTTTTATTATTAATGTTTGTATATTGTTATTATGTGACATTTTTTTAAAAATATTTTTAATTTCCATATTTTATAAAAATATTTGATGAAATAAATATTTTAAAAAAATGTGCCGCTTTCTATATACTTCTATATATAAATTTGTATACAAGAGTTCAAACCGACCCCATATTTTATTTTTTAAAACGAATCTTAACCGTTTAATTCTGAATCCGAACCGATATTCGTTTCGGTGTGGACCCCCTGGTAAAAACAAAAAAAGGTCAAATTTGGACGTATTCTTAAAATAAAAATGACCATTAGTACACAAAATATCGATTACAATTTTTTACATTTTTTTTTAAACCTAACTTCGAAAAAAGGAAATACGACGCCGAGAGACAAAAAGGATGCTTACTAGCAACGACAGATCCCTTTGCCGGGAAAGTGGACGGCAATTTAGGGGAAGAAATCAACATTTCAGACAGCGACCAGGAAAAATGTTCGACATTTTTAATAGGAAATTCTGTCCCTGCACAAAATAGTTCCTCCTACGATAACGACATAGCTATTAAACCACCCTCTAAAAAAGTCCACAAGTCCTGCCGCCCCGCTTCTCATCAACGCCACAATTCTCCTCATATTAGACATACCGATCATAATTACAACGTTTTCAAAGTAAAAAAACCGGTCAAAAGTATTAAAACCCCCGTTAAAAAAATTATGAAAGATGATGACAAAAATCTCGACATCGCGGAAAAGTCGGAAGAAGAAAAGGAAATTGAAATTATTGCCCATATAGAACGTAAAGCTATCGACGAAACGCTTCTTCGGCAGACGTCTCTCCTGACTTTCCCCGATAACATAGTGTCTTCCAATAACGAAACCGACACATATTATTGTAATAGTAATACGGTCTGGAATGGACTCCTTACACCCTCCACCATCTTTATTCCCACGATATCTACCGTTCCGAAGGTTGTTATGGCAAAGCCACCCCAAAACGATAATGATAGCACGTTATTTAGCGATAAAATAGCAAATTTTCAATTCATCATTCCCAAAATTTTATTGTCGCACCACCCCGAGTTGGCAGGGCAAAGCGGTGCCTCGATGGTTAAACTGAAACCTATCCCGACAGTTGACAAGGTTGATTTACCATCGTTGACACCTGTTAAAAGTAAAACGACTAAGAAATCGGCCAGCGACGACAAGAACCCTAAGAAATCTAAATCAAAACCTAAACTCAAGGGCAAGGAATTATCGGCGAAACCTATTTCTACGAATCATGCCAACACCACCAAATCGTACGATTTGCTTAGGGCCATCAAACCTAATTTCATAACGAATACGCTAAACCTTCTCGAGCCGATATCACTAGCCCCGGGAGTTACTAGTTCCCATCCGGCCCACAATGTACCCTCTTACGAAACGCTCCCCATACGCTTAGTTTTCGCGCCCAAACAAAACGTCCTAACTACCGCAAACTCATCTCCGTCAATCATTAGCATTAATAATGGTTCCCTCTCCCACAGTGATAATTCCAATACTGTCCACGGTACTAACGACGCTGTTAGCCACGGACCAAGTTTCTGTGCAAACGGCCCTTCTATCATCACCACCTCCGTCTTTTCAGAAAATAATAAGTCCCGACGCTACACCTACAACAGATCTAACACCGTTTCCTCTCGTCGTTAACAGCAGAAAACCGAATTATTTTGAGACCTTCCTGAACAACCTCAGTCCCGAACTAAGGAGTAATTTCCTTTCCTCCGTGTCCAGCACGCTAATGGAGGACCATTGCAAAGTCTTCGAAATTGTAAAGCCCCACGATGTCAAGAAGACGGCTAAACCTTTATCGACCGACAGCCTTATAATACCACCTGGAGGTTTTTTAATGGATGCAAACGAGATGATTGTCATTCCTCCTTTATCTTCAGTAAGCCCGATTAATGTAGTTTCTCGGATGAAATCCGATCCAAAAAAGGATAGCCTCGTCAAGCTCAACAAGATAAATAATACCGCTCCAACTACAAAAGTAAATAATATAGCGCCCAAGCCTTTTGGCCCGAATAACCTTTCTCCCTGCCGCCCGGTTATTCACGCCTCCAGAAATCAATGCGCCACTTTAGCCGCCATGATCAAATGCCGTTCCTGCGGGGCTTTCAACCATTCGTCCTGCCTATTTAGCCAAATCAAAACCGCTAATAATTCTGCCGTATCTGTCAGAAGAATTAACGCGTGCTTGAATTGTTCTCAAAGCGTATGACCCTCGAGTCTTCGAATCAATCTGGAAGATAGCTTCAATTTTTTTTAAAAATAAAAACCCCATTTTTTTTCATTTTTTTTTTAAAAAATAAAAAAAATTATTTATTGATAATATATCTTAAAATGATTTATAATAATATTTAATATTTAAAGAAGATTTACAGAAAAAATAACATGGGTAGATTGTTTTTTTTTAAAAAAAATTAATTTATATTATATTTTTTTTAGAATAAAATATAATGTTATATGAGTAATGATGCATGGCGATAAACTTTATTGATTTTTTACGTGTTACGTCATATTAAGCGCACTAGCCCTAAACGTCATATATATAACAGTTATATATACAACAGAGCAACGTTTGGTTCTCTCATGAAAAGCCCCATCAAACTGGGATAAAAGATAGGAAATAATTAAGAGGACCACCCACTGCGCGCAAGAGGTCAAAACCGCTTGCTTAGACGCCCATGGGAAATGAGAGGGGAGGATAAAAGCCCGTGCCCGATTAGATAAAAATTTGATTATGAAAGGGTTAAATTGGTTATGCTAATTTTTACTTTTAATTTATTGTGCGAGCCTAGAAATGAAGATATGGTTAAATAAAATACCAGTACAAATACAATTGCAAGCGTTTATCAATAATACTAGATCCTTATATCCAACTTTGAAGATAATCCTTCATCATACCGGAAAAACCGAACCCCAAGACTTTGAAATAGACATGATTTTTTTTCCCCAATATTATTAAAATATCGGATAACAATTGTAATTTTATCCTTATATATCTTACAATGTGTTATTTTTTTTTCAACTTTAAATCATTTTTGAGCGCGTTTTTAAGAATTTAAAATTCTGATTTTGCCGGAAATGTATATACCGTTATGTTCGGGATACCTACCCTATGAATTTCTGACAATATTTCTACGAACTTCTAAATTTAACATAATTTTTATATTATATTTTTTTTATATAAATTATAAATGACTCAAAGGTAAACAGCAAAATTGTGTACAATTCATAAGTATCCAAATATGACAGAATATATTTCAGGTAAAATCCGATTTTTTCAAATTTAAAAAAAACGCGCTCAAAAAATGATTTGAAAAAATAACACATTGCCGGTAAGAAGATATTGACGCAAACATATAGGAAAAAATTTGACCATAAGTCGGTTCAGTATTTGTATAACCCAAATGGTTTTGTGTTCGAATCCAGTAAGGGTCATTTTTTTTATTCTTAAGCCAACTTGATGGTTCCATCCTTGGGGGGGGGGGTGATATATAGTAGATCGGACTCAACCACGTGATTCCGTCAATATATATATATATGTATATTAAAATAAAATATTTCTTATCGCATTTTAATAAATTTTGGTCGTTGTTTAGCAAGTGGTCTAGCTTCATATATTGTTTCCCATATTATATCGTTAAAAAACGTCAATCATCTTCTTGCCAATTTCTAATCAAATTTTTCGAAATATTTTCCCATTTCAGTTGCTCCTTTCCTCCAATAATTATAAATATTCCACAATAATATTTATTACATTAATATTTTTGGCATCGGAATTCGATATCGACCGATTCCTTGTTATTACCGGTTTTGGCTTTGGTATTCGATAGAACGATACCGTGCTAGTACCGGTTTTGGTGCATATCTACTCATCTTTTGAGCTAAAATTTTTCTGGCAGCCTCTGACCAGTTTAGGGAAGGTTTAAATAGAATTCATAATTTCATTTGAATAATACCATTTAAAAAAGATTTTATTATCTCACCTGTTTCAACACGTGACTAAGCAATGTCGCTACCACATGTGCTTTAGGTGGGGGAGGGGGGTGGAAGGAATTATTTTGCTAAATAAAGTACAGTAAATACTAATTGAAACTGACGGTACATTTATTAAGCTGTAAGCAATGACATTGGCTTGTTGTAGTGGACGCCATTGTAAATGCCTTAAGATTGGTGGTCTTCAATGTTATGCAAACATTTAAATGCATTTTTGATGAAGTAATCATAAGCTTAGGATAGTATATTATATGTTTTTGACATGATTTAATGATAATTTATTTATGAGGATCTTTTTAATAATGTGCTTTGCATGAAAGGAGTCGAAATTCGGTGTTATAGGGTGAAAATTTCGGACACATAAATTTTTATTTATATTGAAGCTTTTAGTATATTATTTATATATATACCAACTATATATATATATACTATTAATTTATCATTATATGAATGCACATTAATGTCATTAATAGACGTGCAAGCCACAAAATGGCGCTACAGATGACTCCCATCTTATGGACACTTTTATAACTGCATTTAATAAATGCATCGCTAATCTACTAGTAAATATATATATCATTGACATATACACACCGATATAAAAAAAAGTCGTTTATTTTTAATCTATAGTTATTCTGTAACAAAATTTAAGTTAATAAATCTGCATCTCAGGCTTAATTTTACCAGCCTTGGCCCGAAATTTTTTTTAAAAAATTAATTTGACCGGTCTGATCTTGAACGAATTAATTTTTGATTTTGTCCTGGAAAAACCCGACTCGGCCCAAAGTCATATGTCCGACCGGCCCGAATGACGCCTTGTTACTTCCAAAAAATTTAATATTATTATCAATTTATTTGACAAAATTAAATAATATTATATTTTAAAAAAATTTAATCCCGGTCCGAAATTCTGAAAAATATTATGGCCCCGACCTGCTTATCGCAAACATTTTACTCTTATCTACGAAATTTTCCGTAAGTAAGCTATTTTTATTCGCGATTTCTCTTCGTAAAATCATGTTGACAGAGTAGATTTAAGATATATTATATATTCGCACCATACATTAATAGACGAGAATTCTTCCAAATGAATAACAAATACTATAGAAAAACGCTATAAATAGCCGGTTTTTATTCGCGATTTCTCTTCGTAAAATCACGTTGACAGAGTAGATTTAAGATATATTCGCACCATACATTAATAGACGAGAATTCTTCCAAATGAATATCAAATACTATAGAAAAACGCTATAAATTGCCAGCAAAAATAAAACGCTAACACTTAAAATATCTAAATTTATTTTGGAAAATTTCCATTTTTGGCTTGCTAAACGTGCCCTCAAACCCTTGAAACACGAACACTAAAATGCTAAAGATGTGAACCCACTTAAAAAGAATAAAATAATATTTTCATTTTTTAATTAACTTTTTAAAAATTATTTTTTACACAAACTGAACAAATATTTTATTTTCCAAAAAAAAAAAATTTTTTTTTATTTTTTATTTGAGCCTGAAGACGGGCGAGTTATTTGAAAATTAATTTCCATGTATAAAAATAAAAGACCAATGTCTATTAATCCTGCACTCACAGTTAGCGCGAATTCGCAGCGTTTTTCGCGCTTGGAATGCTGAGTAAAGGTTTATTTACTTTTAAGCTATAATGCGTGATTGGATTCTCCGTCGGACAGGTTTTTGTTATATGTATTTATCCCCATTTTAAAATATCTAAACAACACGTGATTTATTTATTCAAGTTTTAATCCCAAAATATTTATCGCTTAAAAGCGTATTGAGTGGCCTAGTTGGGATCAGCTATATCGCCAATTGCATAGATCTGAGTTCGAATGAGCGTCAACATGACAGGATATTCACTGAAAGCAACTCCCCCCCCCCGCCAGAAACCTATACCTACCCTACTCAACACATCTTTCGCCGCCTTAGGCTGCTATACTCCCACATTATTAATAGCAAGTTTTTAATTAGAATGCTCCTACATATATTATAAAAATAATTTAAATTACATATACTCTAAAAGGAATATAAAAAGAGTTATTTTTATAGAAGCATTAATTAAATTCCATTTATAATGAATATAGCATATTGTTTGTCATGAATATGAGTTATCTTATAGAATGTCTACCCTTCTAAGTTACATTTTAAGAAGATAGCAGGAAATTATTCAGGAAAAATTAATGAGTATGTCCAATCGATTTATATAATAATAGGTCTATAATTAATTTATAAATTATTATGGTAATATATTATCCACAAATCATCCAAAATAACACTAAATAATTATACTCTACCCCCCCCCCCCCCCACCAATTATCCCCGACAATCTTTTAAAATATTTTGATGCGAACTGTTCCCCCATCCTCACCCCACTTATGTATGCGCTTAGATTAATTTAAATATGTATAATTGTAATTTTTACTGCTTAATAACTAGTGTTGTTAAACGGCTCTAAGTTAAAAAAAAAGACTAACCCAATATTTTAGTCAAAAATGCTTAAGCATTGAGATTTGACTCATAGATTTCAGAAAGGTTTGAACATCTATTAACAAAATTTTCAGGGCTAAAATTTTAATTTAATTGGTTAAATCAAACCGTTTAACAATCACTATTTATGACAATAATGATGATTTTTTT